CCCATCCGGACGCCACCACGCCACCAGCCCCCGCGCCCGCCTCCTCGTCGTTTTGCTGGGCGGCGATGGTCGTTTCGGGATCCAGATCGAGCGCACCTACGCTCTGCTGCGCCAGCCGCACCGCCTCGCCGCGCATCTGGCGCATCTCGGCATGGTCGTACAGCTCGCGCACAAACCGCTTCGTGTACGGATCGTACCGGAACGCCGGGATGCGCGGATTCGCAATCATGATCGACTCCAAGTGGAAGCGTCCATCGCCAATGTACACGATCGCATCGATGCGCTCCTTGTCCAGCTTGGGTGACGTGCATCCCAGCACCTCGCCAGGACTCAGCGGCTTGACCTGCGGCACCGTCACCCTGTACTCGCCCGAATACCACGCCTTCCACTTGGCACCCTGCTCGATGTGCTCCACCGCTCCGTCCGCAACGCTGCCGCCCGCAAGCATGAGTCGATCCGCACGCGGCTCGCCCGTCACCACCTCGCCGTCGGCCAGTCGATGCTGCTGCTCTTCCAGCGCTTCGCGCAGTCCGTGGATGGCATTGATGAACTGCACCGTACCCACCAGCGCCAGATGCGTCGGCACCTCCTCCGCTACGCCATCCCTTCGGTCCTCTCCAGTCGAAGCAGCATCGTCGCTGCCAATCGCGATGCGCGCTCGGCCCGCCGACTCGTCCACCTGCTCCCTCTTCCCCGCCGCATTCTGACTTCCACCAAGGATCTTGGCTCGGAACTCGTGCTTGTCGCTCGGGAAATTGGCGCGGATCGTCGCAGCCAGGTGTGCCGGATCAATCGAGATCTCCACAAACACGTACAGCGTCTTGATCGCCGTCTGGTCCACAGGCACCAGGCAGCTGTGGCCGTAGTGCACCAGCATATCGCACCCGAGCGCCATGGCCGTGTAGTCGTCCACGCAGCACGCGCCATACGTTACATCGCCCATGATCACCGTCGTCGCGCCCGTGAAGCGCTCCACAATGTCCGAGATCCCCGTCGCCCACAGCGTGAGTCCCTCGGGCATCTGCAGCGCCACGCATGTCGCAGACGCCTTGCGGATGTGATGGATCGTCTTGTGAATCTCAAAGTTGTAGTTCGCAGGCAGGATCGATGCGATCGCCTGGTTCAGCGACGCATCCTCCAGGATCTCGGCGGGCACAGCGTTGGCCATGCGCGGTCGAGAAGGTCCCGCTTCGCTTTCCTTGCCGGCGGTGAACCGCTTTCGTGGATTCTCCGCGTTCGTCTGCATGTCGATTGCCTCGTCGTTGAGATGGGGTCAGGAAGCCAAGATGCACTTGCGAATAGGGCCAGGGTCCAAAGCCTCAAATCTTCCTGGCCGCCAAATTTGCTCAGCTGCCCGCTGACACACGCTGACGCTTTCTCTCTCTCAGGTCTAACAGTCAATTTTCATCGAAACGAACGCCGATGTGCTGTGCCCGATCCGGCTAGCCGAACGTAGCTGCTCGCAGCTCATGGCCATCGTCGCGAGTGCACATGACGTAATGAGGCTCGCCTCGTTCGCACTTCGCTTCCCGATCTGACCGCCTTGCCGAACGCCACAGCCTTGCCATTCGGTTTGGTTGGGCCACGTCCGGCTTGGCATCCTTTGCCCTCTTGCAAGCCGAACGCATTGGAGCTTGGAGCGAGCTAGTCTCAGCGTGTGTTTCTAGTGCCTATTTTCGGGCGCAAGCCTTGCATGCTGCCGAAGTCTCGCCAGTCGTAGCGGCGAGTCTTCGCGAGGTGGGGATGGGATCGGCAGACGCTCATTGTGCTCTCGTCCAAGTCCACTCATGGCTGCCAACCAAAAGCGTAGGCTGCAGAAGGTTGGCCGGGCTAGCCCTCGGAAAATTGAGTGGAGCCGTGCTTGTCAAGCAAAGAGAAGGCGATGTGTTGGACGGGTGACTCGGTGGCTGACGGCGGGGTGCGAATGCCGCATCTCACACGAGCCTTGACACGGCCGCCACCTCGATCCTGGAAGGCAGATGAAAGCGTGTTTTTTCAAGGACCGATCGGTCAGCTTGGCTTCGCGATACGAACCTCAATGCCATTTGGAGGTCATGCTGGGCCGGAAAAAAATTGAGCATCATGTGCTCAGCACAAAGCTGTCGAGCCCAACCCTAATCCTGGCAGACAATAGAGCGGAGGTGGGACGAAGGGGGGCCGGCGATGATCCCATTCAGGCACGCGGTGGGTTGGGAGGCTTGTGGCAGCTCATGCGAGAGCGCGCAGAACGAACTCGGCCACAGATCCGTGTTTCGCATGGCCGCGCGTGGGCCGCTTCCGTCGGCAAGGCGACGCCTCCAAGCTCAGACCCAATCGATAGAGGATCTCGAGATCGTGCCTGCCCATCGCTCTTCGCAAGCCTATGGGAAAAAATACAGATTCGCCTCTTAGCCCCCCCGCACTTTAGCCTCTTTCGCTCCGCATCACCTCACCCAGAAGACAAGCGGACAGGCCGGGCATCATAGGCTCGTCATACCATGTCGCTTTGGCAAGTGCCACTCTCGATTCAGCGCTCGGAAGGCGTCCAGCTTGCTGTACCAATTCTCAGCGACACCAACGACAAAGTGGCTCTGCACCAATCTGGAACGGCCTTGCTGGACCCAGGCAGCGTCGGTGGCCGGAGACGGCGATCAACGGCCGTGTGTGTTGAGCTGCTGACTGGTCGTGTTCGTGCAAAGATGCCCGGAATAGAAGCAAACATTGGGGCTCGGCGCGAGCCAACAGACTCGCTGCCATACAGTACGATGGGCTGGACCTCGGCGACTCGCAGAGGGGGCCATTTGACAGCTTGCCTGCCGTTCCTGCCGTTCCTGCCGTGGCTCGCCGAAAACGCGCGCTGCACTCGCCGTCCTCTTTGTGTTGCCCTGTGTAGATCCCACTCGTGCCCAAAAGCTGGTGGTATTCAAGCGACCTTCGAGTGTGAAAGGCAATGCCATTGGTCGGCTATGCAAGCTGTGGCCGGTTTTCCATGCAACGCCGACGAGACGAACATGACAACGTGGCTCGCAAACACCAAATGCTGCACATTCGGCGAGGCGCGCGCGCGGCAACGGAAACTTTTGTTTCGCCTTGCCTACGACCAGGACCTTTTTTTTTGGCGAGACACAACTCATTCGGCCCGAAATGCTCCGGCCCTGCACACTATCTGTACGAACGATGAGTCCAGCGGGACGAATGTCGGAGAGTGAGTGGCAAGAGTCCTTGCCAGAGGAGAAGGAGGGGCAGAGGATCTGCAAGTGAATGGGTGTCGGGGCGGCGGTGAGACGGCATCGTGTGCGCCTGCCGGTGTCTCGCGTAGCCAAAAATTTGGGTTGGCGTCTTCGTAGCATCAAACCAATGCAACACGAGCGAGCCTCAGCTCGAGCTCCAGCGCCGGGATCCAAGGAACCCGAGGCTCACACCGCCTCTTGTCAGCGTCCAGAGGCGAAAAGGCTGCGTTACCGTTCCGACACGATTTCCTCGAAAGGCGTTCGAAAACACATGTTCGAGGCTGCACCCAAACGCCGACGGCAGCGCGAAAGGCCGTAAATAAGCAGGGCGCGCCAAACCACCAAGTCGAGGGGCGGCGAGGATGGCCAAGGTGGCGAAAAACGACCCTTGGGTCATGTGCCCATGTGGGCACCAGTTCGAGAAGGGATCGGCAGCGCTGTTGTGATTTCCAATCGGTTTGATCTGCTCGTCGAAAGGACGTTGCGATGCAATCGCGCTCGCCAGCAGCCGCGGTTTGGTCGAACGAATTTCAAAATGTCGTCGGGTTGTTTGGCGACAAAGTTGGTGGCGACTTTGCTCTTTGCTGGACGACAGCGTTTCCGGCTGCAGGGTGCACTGCATCCACTCGACTCGCGAGAGAGATGGCTGACGATGCGGGGAGGATCGGATGGACTTTGCATGCGTTTGCAGATGCAGTTACGCAGGCACACCCATGCGAGCGCGCGCGCGCTTGCCAATCCAGCAGGGCTGATTAGTTCCGGTTAAACCCAATCCCACCCCCGCTTCGCTTCCGCCCCCGCCTCGCTGCTCGTGCTGCAGCGCTCTACTGCCTCGGAGGTTTCCAATGTCAGACCTTTGCTCTGGGGGCGTCTGCAGATGGATGCACGCTACTGCAGCGCCCCCCCTTTTTGAGACCCAGCTCAGGCACCGTCGTTACATTGTCGACACACAGGAATGTGCATACAATGCGGCAGAAGCACACACCCAATGCTGCACCTCAGCGCAAGGGGGCGTGCAGAGCCAAAACAGGCTGTCTCCTCGACTATCCCAACCCTTCCAGTTGCGGATGGCTACAAGAGGATGACACAGAAACGCAATTGGATCGATGTAGCGCGTGGGGCATGCACGAGTCAGACGCTTGTCTTGCCTGTTGTTCGCAGCCACCGCCACTATCGAGTGCGGATATGCCGGATGGAGGGCGCACTCGACGCACAACGGCGCTACGTCCAGCTCAGACATCCTAGGGAAGGTGACTTGCAGCGCCAGGGAGCAGCGGCAGCGGCAGCGACCAAAAAACAATCTGATCTAGCCGAGGCGAAATGATGGATGCACGGATCCGACGCTGATGAGCACGCAATCTGATTGGTCGAGACTCATTGCTG